ATGTACATGGAAATGACCTTATGTTTTAGCTTGTAAAGTAAACATGATAAGGGTAACTATACCGTCTATCAACTGAAAACAAAATGACTATATAAGGTACATTTGTGTACATGAAAATGACCTTATGTTTTAGCTTGTAAAGTAAACATGATAAGGGTAACTATACCGTCATATGGATTGAAAAGAAAATCACTGTATAAGGTATAGCAGGCTTTTTACGACAATAGCAAGGTTTTTATGTTTCTCTTTTTATAATTGTAGAATATTTATGTGGATATGATTTGTGTGCAGATGTTTTGGATATTGCAGAAAAAGTGGTAGTTTCCTTCTTTCAAGAGGATTTCTTGAACTAGTTGTTCATTTGTCATGCTAACAGGATCTGAGGTGTCTGTAAGGGCACGAGGTTAGTGTATCTTTGAAACATGTGACAGTGATATTAGGTGCATCCTCCTCTTGTTTGATGGACAACTTGGCTGTGATGTCAGATGGGCAGTTTTTGGTAAGCATGCTCATGTGGCATGCAGGGCATGTGACAATGGTTTCATTGAACTCTTGGATTTTCCTTTTGCAGTTGATGCACTTGATAAAGCGTGAGAGGATACTTATTCCACACACTTTCCCTGTGTATGATCCTGGAGAAGTGATGGTGCTGCTGGTTGTATCATCTGTGTTGATGGTGTCAATGTTGTCTACTTCTGTGATTGTAGTGTCTGGCATAGTGTTGATGTACTTAACATTGCCATGTTCACGTACTCTGACGGTGAGGATGTAGGAGTGATCTTCCAGTACTGTAATTCCTTCCCAGACAACTAGGTTTCTTGTTGCTGTGTTATCAGCGCAGATTACATCAGTTTTGGTCAAGTCTCTACTTGTGGATTGCTTGTCTTTTACTGCAATTGTCTGTGCGAGATTTGTGGAGACAATTTTGACTTTGATCTTAATCACTTCACCAGTTACTATCTCATCAATGTCCCTTAGGGGTGTGATGGGGAGTTCGATGTTCTTTGATGGAAAGGAGAGGTCTGTATCATTGATGATAGTTGCCTTGTTGATTAGGATGTCTGATGTTGACAGATTTCCTTGTGAGTAGCGTGAAATCTTGCATCCACGTTGTGTTTGTTCGTGGTCTTCGAGCCGTTTTCTTTTGTCTGGAGAGAAGCAGACTACTTTCTTGACACTGTCCTTTTCTTGGAGATCAAAGTTAAAGTAAGGGAAGCCAGTGCGTTTTGATTTCTTCATGGGCGAAAGGTTGTGTACGTACCCTTTCAAATCCTGGTTTTGTTTGTCAGCCATTGTGCTAATAAATGATGAGAAAACAAATTTGATTAGTTTGTGGCAATGAATTCAATTAAAAAGATCACTGTGTGGGAGAATGTGTAGAACTACCAAATCGGGAGATAACCTATACATGGTCCAGAGAACAAGAAAGTACTAGTAGTTGAAATACAATGACCACAATGTAAACATTACTGTCAGACCACATGGCATATTTTTCATCTAGTCAGTGTGGCATGTGGTTGAAGGTTGCAACATAACGTTCATATTTCAGCGGCAGTATCACAAAACCATATAAAGCACGCATCAAATTGTTCCCCATAATGTCTATTATTCGCAGGGAAAGGCTTGTTGTTGACGTAATTTTGAGTGAGACCTCCAAATTTTGCGTGATTAGCTTCCACATATAACACAACACTAGCCGTGGCGACTCTTGATTCCAGGCCTATATTATAGCCCTCAGCAAATTTTATAGTCGTGGAAAGTTCCATAGGCAGAACCGAACATTTCGCGTCGGCTGCGCGATGATCCGTTTTCGTCCCGGTTTTCGGGTGTCCCGAGCTTCCCTGAAGTCTTACCTCACGATCGGCCGGGTTGGCGCTGTTCAGATCGCCCTAAATACTCCACAAGGAGGCCGATTCTGCCGTTTACGTGCAAAAATAAACCGGGCGCCATCTTGGGAGGTAACTCGGAAATGTTCGGTGCCACCCTCGGGGACGTTCGGTAGCCTTTCCGGTTGTGACCGGGGCGCTTTCGGTAATGGTCGCTCGTGGTTCGGTACAACCGAACGTCCCCGAACATTCTCGAGTTACCTCCCAAGATGGCGCCCGGTTTATTTTTGCACGTAAACGGCGGAATCGGTCTCCTTGTGGAGTATTTAGGGCGATCTGAACAGCGCCAACCCTGCCGTACGTTAGGTAAGACTTCAAGGAAGCTCGGGACACCCGAAAACCGGGACGAAAACGGATCATCGCGCAGCCGACCCGAAATGTTCGGTTCTGCTGAGGGCTAAAATATAGGCGTCGAATCAAGAGTCGCCACGGCTACACATGATGTTTCTGTCACCTACTCCCGATCCCACAACTGTTTCAAATACAAGACTGGGAACAGTTTATAGATCGTTTCGACACTGCTGGAACATATTCCCATTCATAACTTCTCGAAAACATTTTGTTATTCTATAAGTATCGTTATAACGTTTATAATGTAAACAGCGCACATGTGCGCACATGTACACACACACACCCTCCCCACCATGTGGCCAAGGGCGATACGTCATATCTCAGCGTTAGTTCCACAAAACTATATAAATCACGCATCAAATTGTTCCCCAGAATGTCTATTTCAATGTACCATGACAATGAATAGATTGGTTAATAAATTACAAACAATTTTTGGGGGAAAAGGTACATTTATAGTGCTAAAAAAAGTTACCTCGCTTCTGGCAAGTTCTGCTCTTGAAGGCTGGCGGGAGGGTCTGAATGCTCTTTTCGTAATTACGTAAAGCGCTGACAGTTTATTTCTACTTCTGCAATTCGCAGGGAAAGGCTTGTTCTTGACGTAATTTTGAGTGAGACCACCAAATTTTGCGTGATTAACTTTCTTCATTTTATTGTAATAAGTGGTGGTAGTGGTTTGAATGCAGTGTAAAGTGTTGTCGGTACCCTCATACAGACCCTCTAACATGTGCTTTCATCCGGGACACGAGCCGGGGCTATTCCATTTTAGTGTTGGGGGTGCGCATTTTTATCTACTTAATGTTAGAATCAAGATCAGTGCTGATCCAGGAATTTAAGTCTTTATAACTACTGTGATATGCAATGGCTATCAGAGCATTTGAGGTGCATTGTCTACCTCTACTTCTTTCATTGAATATAAAATCGCCTTGGTGATAATTTGCTGACAATACAGCGTCACACATAGTCCACAATTGTATCAGTTAGTGGTTTTCCTTCATAGTTATGTACGTGGTGGTTTGTGCTTTGCTAATGTACATGTAATCAACAGTTTCAAGTGTGCTTCAGGATCATCAGTCAGAGCAAATATACAGCTTGCTTGAAGAGTTCTAGCAATGTGAACTTTTAATAGGAGTACAAGTTCAGTACAAGTGTACAGTCTGCTCAAGGGCAGTTTAGTGTGTACATTGAACTTTGTTCAGCACAAGTGTCTGCACAAGGGCAGTGTGACAAATGTCCAGCACAACTATAGGGTTTGCTCAAGGGCAATGTGAAGAATTAAATGTTCAGCGCAGGTGTGCAGTCTGCTCAAGGGCAGTGTGAAACTTTGTACCGTTAACTTGTCAAATCTACAGTCTGCTTCAAAGGGAGTGTGAGAAATGTAGTGCAGTGCAAGAACATGTACAGTAGTCACGAGTTAGCAAACAACGGTAGTCACTGAAAGAAAAAAAATACAGTAATTCAATTTTTTAATACATTAAATTCTGTTTTGCTTAATTACATCATGCTGCCTTCATTAACTGGTTTGTGTTTGTGTGCAACTGAACATAACTGAAAAACGCTTCCATGCATAGCTGCTTTGACATACTAGTAGTATAATTTTAAATAACACTGTATCAAAGCAGCCATGCATGGAAGCGTATTTGTAAGGGCTTGGCTTGCAACATATACCAAACTACACAACAAATGACCCCTACAGCGTTCCTGACCTCTAAGAGTAAGCCGACAACTGTTTGAAGTTAAGACTGGTTGATCGTTTCCCAAATTCTTTCCTCACAAAAGTGCGCGTTCAAGCTGCAGCAGACAGAACTGTATTTTATAAGGTCACACGCCCCCTCCCCCTTTCGCGGCATGCCGAAACAAAGGCACCGAAATATTATTATTATTCCCATACATAATCTCTAGAAAGCATTACAGAGCTTTGTTGTTCTATGAAGTACTTTAAAACACAATCATACGCTCCAAATCGTTGAAAATCGTTTCAAAACGTAAGTATTTTCACGATAAAAAATACAAACGCACACAAACCTGTGGCCTTGCTTTGCTCTGCATGCGCATAAGCGCACCCTAGCGGGGATAGGCCGTACTGCCACTGCCAGATCTTGCTGGCTTATTAACATAATATATGCAACGATGAGCAATGTGTGGCTTTTGTCAGTTTATGGCTCACGTGGGCGACATTTTGACGTAAAATTATATTTGAAATGTTTAATTTTGTCAAACATAGAGCTGTGGTGACATTTTATCTTATAGTAGCCCAATTTTAATTTTTAGCGCTTCAAGTACATACGGGACCCCAAGCGCAGATAGCGCAGACACAATGACCCAACTCGGACAACAGAAAGATGACGTAATTAGGACCAACGAACGTACCTACCTAGGAGCATGTAGGAAAGCGAACACAATTTCGTTCGCCCGCCGTAGGGCGGGCGAACGAAAAAAATACTAGTACACAGCATTGCCCACCCAATATTTCAAGATGCCAATTTTAACTTTGAATTGATTTATTGTTTGGGATCGCTTTGTTACTAGGTAAATTATAATTGCTTCCGTTTGTGTTCTTGAAGTTTTAACGCTATATATGCCGTGGTTCTCCCGGACTGCCCATGGTGCTCTCGGGACAAGGGCTTACGTGAGGTAAAACCTGGAGTCCCCGGCATGTGATTCTCATCAGTGCGAGGTCCGTACAGTGTCTCAGTAGATAAGAAGTGGCATAATGACTCGAATGTGTG